ATAGATAAGGTTTGCATATAAAGATTAAAAAAACTGATTAATAATAGTGGAATGATACTAGTTAACAATATGTTGAAGCACTGTTATAAGTCGAAAAAAATTATAAAAATAAAAACTAATGATAAAAGAAAAAGCGAATCATAAATGACAAGGCTGAGACGTTCGTATATCAGTGCTTAATAATTCCAACAAGATGATCTCATTCGAATATGCAGACAGATGGTCTAGAAGTTGCCGTTATCATCTTTGTGAATATAGCAGTCTTTGGTGTGTCGCAAAGATAAACAATAGATGGGTTTCGCATGAATTCACAAATTAAATTAGGAAAAAAGGCCATGCATATAGGAACAAAAAATAACATTTTGTCAAGAAGGTAAAGCAACTATTCCCATTTCCACTTATCAAGTGCTATATAAATAATAAGAAATAGGATAGACAAGGGTAAATGCAATAAATTACTAATTCACTTAATGGATACGAAGACCAGGATTGTGTTGCCTTCCGTGTGGTCGCTGTCTTCTTTAGATTTATAGAGGTGGTTTGATCTGGTTTTCACAACTTACTAGCAGCAACAGGGAGACCATGCGGAACGTACCTAGTCATGCGTTCTCTGGCATAGTATTCGTGAAAAGTAACTGAGTTGCGATGAATCTCCTGAGAGAATATTATTTCTGGGACTTTCATTTCGTATGAAAATGTATGAAGAATATATTCGAAGGTCGATCTCACCAGAAAAGGCCGGTTGAATCCCGTTGTACTGCAGCCGTTTGGCTTTTATACGATGCTGAGATTAATGCAGTCCACAAGACCTCCTTCTTTTCGGGTGGAAATGGACTGCGATTTCGTTCATCATGTGATAGACATGATCAGAGTTGCGACTGCTTGTAAAATTCTCAAGTTAGCACTAAGAGAAGAATACTACCCGGCTAAATTTTATGTTATATAATCTCACTTAAGCAAAAGATAATATAAAAAATGATCGATATAGAAGATAATTATATCTGTATACTGGTCGCCTTCTTTTGGATGGAAGGTCAACACCCTCTCTCCTTCAATCTATCAATCAAGTAGATGTTATTCCTACTTAACTTTCTACCATTGTTATTTACATTCAATGTCAAATGTTAACACTAGGCCAAGAAGACTATCCGGCTTTATCTTACCTCTTATATAGACTAAGCTAAGCCAAAAGAAAATTAAAAGATTATCAACATAGATGGATATATGGTTGTTTGGTTAATTACTTTTCATACTTGTCCTGCTACTTTTGCTCGAGTGTGTGCATGTGTGTGTTAGTGTCTATACGCAATACCGGTCCTAAATCAGAGTTATCAAAAGGTTAAACTTAGGCTCTGATCATCAACGCATCAGGGCTTTCTTTGAGGTCATTAGGCGTTGATGATCAGAGCCTAACTTTAACCTTTTGATAACTCTGA